GTCCCTGTTGTGCAGAAGTGATTATAACGGTGGGCCACGCAGTCTACACTAAACAAGGAAGAAAATGAGAGAGCTGTAAGTGGTGAACAGGCCTAAGAACTGGAGATTTCAGGAAGGCCGAAGGGTAGCCGTCTTCACGATAGTAGAGGTAGAAGGACAGGAAATGACTGCATGAGAGTAACTTGCTCGAAATCAAGATTTCAGAGGTCATACTAATATTGGTGACAGCAAGGGCTAGAGGGTGAACCGAGGCGGGCTGCAGGAAAAGGCCAGTGAATGAGAATTGGTCAAGGAATTGAGAAGCTAGAGCACAGCTAGTCCTAGCTTTGCGTGGTGTAACAGGGCCGTAAACATGACCACGGGAGTTGAAATCGTGCAAAGTGATCTTAATAATCAAAGAGAAAAATTACCATTGTCTGTGACATTTAGGCACTTTTTGTTTTTATTGGAACGTTAAAAGCTCTTTGATATAAATATATAGGGAATTTTTAAAAAAATTATCAAACTAATATTTAGTACACTGTAACTTAAAACATGATAAACATGAAGAATCAGTGCTTTACTCTTTGTAAAAAAAGCACCTTGCCAATCAATAGTAGTTTAACTGTGCCTGCCCTCTTCTCATCCTATAACTTGTCTCTTCCATCTTGATAAATTGTCATACTCCTAAGTTTGGGTTGGCTTCCGACACTTTATTTTTGCATTTTTAATGTTGTGAAATATCCCCAGAAATTTCTTTAACATAAAGTGTTTTATCAGCATGACTTCCTGGGGACATCTTCCCCCTTTTGTCACGGCTGTCTTAATTAACATGTGGAATCTGGGTGCAGACTTCAGGGCAGCACCCTGAACTGCGCCAGCATCTTCTCCAGAGAGCTTAACATTCATCAGGTCGTTTCAGCTTAGGGAGTGATGAAAACAGACTTTACTGGCAGTAAAGGTTATTTTTAGGTTTCTTTGTGATTATCATCGTCTTTTAGCCTGGCAACTAACTCCAGCACTTGGGCCTGAGTGCTAGCCAAGCTGATTGGTATTTTTTTTATTTATTACAGCCTTCAATCAAAAGTAGGAGAAAGTCTATCTCAGCCATCATTGGCTTTCTGTTTCTAGTGCAATTTAAACTAAAAGATGCTGAAGCAACTTGAGCTTGTTTTCTCTACTTACTGGACTTTTTCTCTGATTTCTACGGTGCCGAGGTCTCTCCTGTTTTTATTTTGCTTTGCTTTGCTGTCATTCTTTTCAAATTTCCTAATCATATCTAATTTCACTTCCAGCATTGTTACTTTGTATTTATTTGCTGTACTTTCATCTTTGTTGGCCAGTTTCCTCTTTTGATGATTCATTTCTGTAAAACGTCACGTGGGTTTATCACCGGGAAACAAGGAGACAGCACACTGCACGCTTTGCTGTCTCTGTATAAACTGAAGACCTGAACTGCAGGTGCCCAAGGACTGATGGATTTTGAAAGAAGGGTCGTGATGCCTGCTGTGGGCTGAATGTTTCCCCCCAAATTCATATGTTGAAGCGCTAATCCCCAATGTGATGGTACTTGGAAGTGCAGCCTTGGAAGTAATTAGGTTTAGATGAGGTCATGAGGGTGGAGCCCCCATGATGTGGATTAACATCCTTATAAAGAGAGGAAGAGAAACGATTTCCCCCGACTCATATGTAAGGACATAATCAGGAAGAGGGTCCTTGCCAAGAACGCCACTGTGCTGGCACCCTGACCTCAGCCTTCCAGCCTGCAGAACCCTCACACATGTTTGTCGTGTGAGCCGCCCAGTCCGTGGCATTTCATTATGGCAGACCAAGCTGAGACAGCGCCCGTCTGTTACTACCTAGCGATTTGTGGACTCTAGGGTTAGCGGTGAAGCTTGTTCTTTACGCAACTACTAGCAGTTAATTTGCCATTGTAACTAACATTTGAACCATGTCGTTGGCGTTAAACCGTGGCAGCTGAAATTGTGCGTACCAGCCCTGTGCACAGTGAAGACTGCCTTGTTGGATGGTTCATTCATGTGGATGTTGAAGTCACAAGCAGTGATGGCAGCAGTTGGGTGAAGATGAAGATTTCAATCCAGCAGCTCATGTCTCAAGCATGAAAGGGAATGAGGCAGGGACTGCAGGCAGCAAGCAAGAGGTAAAGGATCGTACACCCAGGTAGCATAACTTCCAGGAGGTAGAATCCTTTTAGGGTCGAAGGGGTTGCCCACCCTGTCCCTGGCTCTGAGCTATCAGAGACTGACAGAAAAAACAGGCTTCCCTGGAGAAGGCTGCAGTGGGACTCGTCCTCAGGGGAAAGCCAGGTTGCTGTTACGGAAAGAGACTCGGTACACACGTGGCAGAGAGGCCGTGGGTCTTGTGTTTGATACCCACATGAAGGGAGCTCCATACGCACCACCAGAAGCCCAGAGAAGCCAGGAGTCGGAGTAGTGGATGATGAGATTTCCGGTGGTGACAGAAGTTTATGGGACATTTGATGTGAATGATCTTTATGGGTCCCTAAGGCCAGCGGGCAATTGGTCCAGAAGCTGTAGTCCTGAACACTTAGCATGACGTGCTGGTGGCTGCAGGGGCCTGCACCCTTCTGTAGGCCCGTCACGCAGTGCTGCCACGGTGGGCTGGGGAAAGGGCTGGGGGACAGCAGGGCAGAGGCTTTCTTGGTTCAAGCCTCAGCATAGCGTGTTTGGGGAAGAAGAGTTGGAAGGGGTTTTTATGGTGGGGAGAGGCAGTAACAGAAGTGAGCACAAAGGAGGGTATCTAACGCGACCTGGGGCCGCAGTGAGAGAAGTAGGTTGGCAGTGAGAAGTGCTGCTGGGATCTGAGGTGTTTGTTCACAGTGTACCTGGAATCCACGGAGCCCCAGAAAATGGCATAGTATTACGTTATGGAGAACCTAGAGCCTTAGCAGGGGCAGAGAGTTTGCCTTCACTCCAAGGCAATCAAGAGCACTGCGGCGTTTGAGGCAGGGAGTGGCACCGTCAGAGCTGTGCTTCCAAGGTGACGACACTGTCAGTTTTACCTGTGAGGTGTGGGGAGGAGACTTGAGGCAAAGTAAGTAGGTCCGTTGATTCTTCTCCCAGTTCATCCTCAGAGGCGTTGTTGATTGTAACTAGGAGGGGTTCAGTTGCTTCATACCAGCCCCCCAGCACAACCAGTTCAGCGAGGGCAAGGGCTTTGTCTGCTTTGTTCACAAAATCTACATCTGGCACAGTGCCTGGAACATGGTACATGGTACATGTTTTGCACATGAACCAAAAATTAACAAATGGATAAATGAAGGAAAAGGGCTATTGAAATGATGTGAGGAAAGTGGGCACCCAGACTAGAGGAATGGCAAGAGTGGAAAAGGGGGGTGATTTTGAGCCACTTCAAAAAATTAAAATAGAATTTAACAACTAAGTATGGGGGTTGAGAGAAGGGCAAGAGAAAGAACAGAGCCAAAGGTAATTCGGAGATGTCAGACCTATTAGAATAGAGGTAACATTTTAGGACTCAGTATGCTTTGTGCATAAGTGCTTGGTTGCATAGTACCTAATTTAATTCACATGCTAACCTTAGGTGATAGGTATAATTCTCATTTTACAAACAAGTCTGTCTATGAGGCAGTCAACACTGTTAGTAGACAGTATATTTTGCAACTAATTGGTCCTCGACAAGTTCATCAGGAAGGCACATTGCTTAACATGACGTATTTCATAGGCTTGCTATTACTAATTTTTTCTATGGCCAAGGTTAACATTGATGGCTACATTTTGGAAGTTTCTTTGGGCTACAGCTATCGTGTCTATGCTCTGTAGCATGGAATTGTTAGTCCTGGACTGATTATCCACTCGTTCTGCTCCAAATGCTAGAGCACGTGTAGAATGGTTTTCTAAGAATAATCTTGGCCCAACTTTCATACATTCCCTCAGCCCAACTCCATTCGGCTCTGTTCAGGCAGGAATCATGGCTCAGCTCCTTAATCTCATCAATGGAAGTAGCGACACCAACTCAGTATAAAACATAGTGAAAAGAAAACCCTCCTCTACCTTTTCTCTCTTCTTGTTTATAGGAAATTCAACTAATGGGTATTTTTACTGATCAGCAAGCTTGATGTGGTCTTTCCAGTTCTGGTTGTGACTCTGAAAATCACACTGATTCTCAGGGGCAGCACTGCTTGCCTCCCCAAGTCCACCCCTGCTTCCTTGCTGGAAGGGTTTTAGTTTGTGCACTGTACCCACAATTTTCACATGGTCCTGTGCTAGGGAAGGCGGGCTCCAGCCCCAACCCCAAGGGGTGAGTTAAGACTGGTCTAATCATGGGAATGTGATTAAATTCTATCAAGTTAAACAAATCTATGTGCAAGTCTGTGGGGAGAGTGGGAAAGTGCCTGGAGAAATAAAATTTTCCTTATTTAAACAGTTATGTTGGGTTTTTCAATTCTTGCATCAAAATGAGGCCATTAACAAATTAACAAATAGACCACACATTTGTAAATATTTTGACTAGGGACGGAGGATATTAGGGAAGTATTAAATATATTACTATCTTTCTTTCGAACTTGGTAATTCCTTTCCAAAAAAATCAATACAAAGTATTATGATATCATCCAAAATGCATCTGCCCTTAAAAATTTCCAAAATCTATCTTAATATCTACATAATTAGGTATTTTACAAGGTTGCATCTTAATTTCCTGTAGAAAATTCTAATTTTCTTAAATCTAAAAAGAATGATAAATATTTTCCCTACATTATAATCCACTATAAGAATTCATATATACATACACACACACACACCTTTTATAATACTTTGGGGAAATAGAATGTTAATAAATATAACTAATGAGTGTAAATGTAAAAATCTAGCTTTTACTTTGTTGTTACAAGAATACAATTAAAAGGCCTCAATTGGAAATAAGAATATAGCTAATCAAAACTGCCGTGAGCTTTAAAATCTATAAATTTCATTTATGTTTGAAAAGTTGGGAAGTGAACACTGTTGAGTCCACGTGACAAGCTATTCGCAGTAAAGAGCAAACACCAAGGCCAAGGCCACGTAGGACTCGGTTTCGTGTTTGGCTGCCACCCAGCTGTCCCATGCGACGTCCCAGATCCCTCTGCTGGCAATCTGTGAGAAAGAGTTTTAAAAAACCATATTTAGATTGAACATGTTAAGAATTTCTTTTCAAATCTACACTAGTTTGATTTTTAAGTTATATTTAAGAAGTAATTTGTCAAATTTTCCATTTCATGAAAAGACTCGAGAGTGATGCTACCTCGACCTCCCTTCGTGCTCTCTGGAGGCTGGCGGTTCTCCAGCACAGAGGCCCTCTCCGAGGGTCCAGGGCGGGAGCAGACGCCTCCGCAATGGGGTCTCCTCGCTCTGCGCACCGCCCTGCTCTGCGGTACGGTCTGTGACAAGGAATTCTTCTTCCCGCCGCCGAAAGATCTACAACTACAGTTTGTTAGGACTTCGTGTTGAGATGAAGAAGTGGCATTGATTACATAAGTAGGTGGTTGTAGAAGATCCTAACTTCTTTTCTCCAGTTACGAAGACATACGTGATCTGACTACAGCACAATCTCTGTGGTGGATCGAAAATGGCCACCAATTCTTTGTGGCTTCTCCTATCAAAGAGTTGACTTGACTTCCTCACCTCTTGAATGTGAGTTGGACTTGTGACTTGCTTTGACCAGTGTGACATTGTGCAACTTCAAAACAAGGACTTCAGAGGTCTTGCAGCTTCCACTTTCACCCTGGTGGGACGCTGTGCCAAGACCCCCCTGCCAGAGAGCCTGCTCGACCTCCTGGAGGGCGGTGGCGCACGTGGGAGAACCCAGCTGCGCCCGCCAACAGCCAGACCAACCACCAGACGTGAGAGGAGCCATCCTGGACCTCCGGGCCCAGCTGCGTCCCCAGAGAGCTGCAAGTCATCAGTAAGACCAGCGGAAACCCAAGCAGCTGATCCAGGCCCAGCCGACCCACAGAACTGTGAGCAGACATGTGGCTGTTGTTTCGAGCTACTGAGTTCCGAGGTAGTTTGTAGCGCGGTAACGTTAGCCGACTGTCCCCCACTCTACAGTCTGCCACCCCCACCAGCTACACTGTTCACCAAGCACCCCGAGTTCATCCCTGCCTGTGGATCTCTGCACTAGAAGTTCTCTGTGCTGGAAACGTCCTCCCTCATCTTCGGTGCAGCCGGTCCCTCTTGCCGCTCGGACATCAGAGGGTCTTCCCTTCTCTAGGCAGCCCTGAGTAGCCACGCTGTCACTCTGTCGTGTCCCTGCGTAATCTTCTCCTCAGGGCACTTCGCACTGTCTGGAATTTCCCTGTTACTTGAGTGTGTGTGTCGCACGTGGTAGACCTCTCCGGGGGCTGGCCGCTGCCCCCTGCCTGTGGCGCCACCGGCGCCTCTGCCCAGCTCCCCTCTGCGCTCCGCCATGCCCCTCACTCCGCCGCGAGGCCTCTAAGATGGATCCACACAGAGTTTTTCTCCCTTTCTCTCCAGCACCCACATACTCACTGTCAACTCCCAGGACACGTCATCTTTTTCTTTACAAGTCATGTTAGTAACAGCCTG